TGTAGTGTAAGTGTGCCTCTGCCAAGACACTGATGGAGTGAATGATAGGGAAAGTTTTTCTTTTGCAGGCCACCCTACCTTAGTGTGAAATGGCTGATGTGTAATAAAAAATAATAAATATTTTGTTTGCAATATAGTTTGGAATATTTATTGAGTGTTTTGTTACTATTTATTCCAGATTTATTTGTAATTTTTGTTTGAAGATAACTGGCTCTTACTTGAAGCTCAGAACAACACATGAAGGAGTTACTTTATGTTTTAAGACAATGTGCTGAGTGTGTTTTATTGTGGCAGAGGTTATGCACTTAATATGACTACCTTATAGCACCATTTATCAATATTTTGTAATTTTTTCCTGCATTTGATTGAACTTTGGACTGTCGGTGTCGTATATACACGTCTTATGAGCCAGTGTTTTTGACGTATTAATACGCAAGAATTCTAGCGGCTGGTAGGCCCACATGTCAGAGAATGGGTCTGTGTGGTCAGTGTGTGTAGTATAAAAAAATACTGTAGCACACAGTGCATAATGAGAAAAAAAACTGACCATGTTTTTGGATTAAAACGCTGACGGTGAGGTGTATTTTCATATAGTATTTATGGTTTTATTCTCATTTTCCTGGTCTCATTTGATAGAATGGAAGATATATTACAGAAATAGAGATGATTTTGATTGGTTTCATGTTGAAAAGGACCTTGAAATTGAGCTCACAGCAGCGGAAATATTTGATTTTTGCTGATGTTCAAGAGTAAACCAATGGCGTCACCATCCAATATGTGTCCAACTGGCCAGTCTAATACGCAGTCATGAATGGATTGACGTTATTTATACAATTATTACAATAATGCAGTAGTCTGCATAACAGTAAATCTTCTATTTTTTGTGTGAATAAAAATTCAAAATAGAAAGCAAGAGTAATATAAGAGGGGCCTGGAGATGTGACTGATGAACAGAGAAAATGTTATTTTAGTGCCAGGAATTTCTGCATTATTTATTCTGGACCCTGTTTTGAAATTGGCATCTTTTTTTAATTTGCATGAAATTGGCCAAATTGCCAATTTCTTACCACTTTATTGGGTAGTTAAACTTGGTAAATGGGAGGTTTCTTGTACTCAGTTGATAAAACAAATGGAGTTCTAAAGAAATAGCTATGAATTTGATCGACTGGTACAATGGAATTGGACGAAAATAGGACTCAAAGTGGGCGAAATCGCTGATGCGTGTATATCGCGGAGATCACTGACTTCGTAAGAGCATAATTTCGTAAGTTTTCGATCAAATTTCATATTTTTTGTTTCGTTACCATCGGGAAAAGATTATTGTTTCATGAGATTTTTTTTTTTCGAATATGTTGCGACACAGAGAGACACTTCAGGACTTGGGGTCTTGATAGTCAAAGGTTAAGCCTTTTTGTAAGAGAAACATCATAAAAATAAAAGGTCTCTTTTTAATATATGTATTTGATTAACCCTTTGACTGTTTCAGGCCCCTCTCTGAAACTGTCATTCTATGTCGCCAAATATTCAAAAAAAAAAAAAATTTTTTTTCTTATGAAAATTTTTAAATTTAAATTTTTTGAGGGGTTTTTGGCCCAAAAAAAAAAAATTTTTCCATCGTACTTACCGAGTATAAAAGCCGTGAAGTTTGCGAAAATGAGCCGCGTATGGCAACAGCGGCGACTGCCGCTCCCCCCGGTAAATTTTTGTTTACTTGTATTTAAATTTTGGGTTTTTTTTTTTTCACTATTTTATTTTTTCACATAACTTATGTGGCCTTTTGAGACCAAAGAAAGGGTGCATTATATATATACATTTCGTTTGTAAAAACAACACAAAAGCACACAAACATAATTAAAAAATTTATTTTTTACAAAACTTTTTTTAAAAAACCCAAACAAAAAAAACAAACAAAAAAACCCAATTTCTTCTTCTTTTCTTCTTTTCTTCTTTTCTTCTTTCTTTTTTCTTCTTTTTCCCTTCTTTTCTTCTCTTCTTCTTCCCCTTCCCCTTTTTTCTTTCCTTCTTCTTTTTTTCTTCTTCTTCTCCCTTCTTCTTTTCTTCTTCTTCTCCTTCTTCTTCTCCTTTTCTTCCCTTCTTTTCCCTTCTTCTTTCCTTCTTCTTCCCCTTCTTCTTCTCCTTTTTTCCTTCTTCTTCCCCTTTCCCTTCTTCTCCTTCTTCTTCCCTTCTTTTTCTCCTTTTCCCTTCCCCTTCTTTTTTTCCTTTCTTTCTTCTCCTTCTTCTTCCCCTTTTTCTTCCCCTTTTCTTCTTCCCCCTTCTTCTTCTCCTTTTTCCCTTCTTTTTTCTCCTTCTTTTTCCCCTTTCCCTTCTTCTCCTTTTTCCTCCTTCTCCTTTTCCCCTCCTTCTTCCCCTCCTTCTTTTTTTCCCCCCTTTTCTTCCCCTCCTTCTTCTCCCCCCTTCTTCTCCTCCTTTTTCCTTCCTCCTCCTTCTCCTCCCCTTCTCCTCCTCCTTCTCCCCTTGCCCTCCGTCTCCTCCTTTTTCCCTCCTCCCCTCCCCCTTTCTCCTCCTTCCCCTCCCCTCCTCCTTGGTGCGAGGGTGTCTTTTTAATTGTTTTGATTCAGAAGGGGCAGCTTTTAAAAAGTGACTTATTGTTCTTTTGTCACTACCCCCCCCCTTTGTAAAACAATGGGGGGGGAAAGCTGCTTCCCCCTCCTCCATTCTATCTAATTTTTCTTTCTCCCTCATTCTATATCTTTCAATCTGTCTCTTTTTTCCTTTTCTCCCTATCCTTTTCCCCACAGGTAACTTTTAAATAAAAGTATACTTAGTGAAAATTTAAACCTAGGAAAACCCCAAAAAAAAATCCAGAAAAAAGGCTATACTCTGCTTGAAATTTTGGGGTAAACGTGAACACAGTCTTGGGGGCCTCTCTCCCTTGGGGGGGGACAAAAGACTTAAAAGGACAGGGGGGCCCAAAAAAAGGGGTGAGGTTAAAACCCCAGAAAAAGGCCCAAATAGGCCCCAACCAGAAAAGGGGTTTTTACCCCCCCCCCCCCAAAGGGGGGGGGGGGGGGGGGGGGGGGGGGGGTTTCCCCCCCCCCCCCCCCCCCTCCCCCCCCCCCCCCCCCCCCCCCCCCCTTTTTTTTTTTTGGGCTTAAAAAGGGAAAATATTATTACATCTTCTTCTTCCTCCTCCTCCCCCCTTTTCTCCTCCCCTCCCCCCTCCTCCTTCCTTCCCTCCTCCCCTCCCCCTTTCCTCCTCTTCCCCCCCTCCCCCCCCTCCCCCCTCCCCCCATTGTTTTTGGTTTTAAAACCCTCCAAATCATAAAATTTTGATTTTTCACGGGCACTTCCATCTGTTTTTTAGAGCATCACTTGGGAAGAGAAGGCCCAATTTGCTGGGGAATCACATATTTCTTACCACTAGACATGCTGAAAAATGAAAACTGAAATGGCATTCCCACAATGCACCACTGGTCCCCCCAATTTTTTTTTTTATGGTGCACACTGACCATGGAGGGCCCATTCTCTCACATGTGGGGGCCCAGCAGCTTTTTTTCCTGCTTGATTTTTAAGCTGCTAGAATTTTTTGCGTATAAATACGGGCAGGAAAAAATTGGCTTTTTTAAGCGGATTTTTAAAGTCCCGGAAAAAATTTAAAGGGGGGTTTAAATACACCCGGGCCCCCCCCCCTTACCCAAAGCTCGCCCACATTAAAACCGCCCCTACAACATTTGAAAAGCAAAAATTTTTGCCTCGTCTCACGATAAAAAACTTGCCTTTGTGATTTCCTCTGGGACAAAGTCCCCGTGTGGCCTCAGGCCGCCAGTGTTTAAAAACCAGCCATGTGGTCGATCCAAACCCTACATTCGGTTCCCTTTCCCCCTTATCCCCGTGTTTTTTGTGCTTGTTTAAATGCAAAATAAGTCACCCTGGGCCCCAAAAAAGCTTCCCAGTGCCAACCCTGTGGAAAAAGGGGGGAGAATTGTATGGAAATTAAGGAAAAAAATTTTTTAAGGGGTTTTGGGGTTAACCCCCCTGAGAAAGCCAAAGCAGTTGTGGAATCCAATTTTCCTACTTCAAAGATTTAAAGGGAAAAGGTGCAGAGGGGGGTTGAAGTGTAAACCTTTATGGATGGAAAAACACCCTAACAAAGCTATTGCAAACCATGCTGGTGACTATTACAAGGAAAAATGTTGTGGCCCCTTTTTGGCAAATCTTAAAGCAAGAGAGGACAGACCCATGGACCCGATTTTTTGTCACAGAGGGCCAGTTTTCTCAAGGGTGGTCCCAGTGGGATTTTTAAAAAAATAAGGGAAAATAACCCCCAAAAAAGGACTTTTCTTTCCCCAAGTCCTAATGGAAGGGGGTTCCCCTTTTAAACAATAAATTCCACACTCTCCCCCCCTCCATCCCAAACAATCATCACCAATCTTCAATTTAAAAGGAAGTTTTCATGTATTTATTCTTAGTTGGGGGTAGTAATTGTGGGATGTCTTCTTCATTTTTTTGTGTATTTTTAAAATTTAAAATTTTATGTGGGAAAAATTTTTTTTTTTTAAAACTTTTTGGGGGTTTTTGCACAGATTAATTTGATTTCCCCCCATTTTTTATGGGGGGAAAAATTTAAATTTTCCCTTTCGTAATTTCGGTTTAAAGATGAAACTCTAGGAACGGATTAATATCGTAAGGGGGGGGGGGGGTCCACGTATTTGTTTTTTTACAACCATACCTTTAGCTTCCAGGTCTGAAAAAAGAAAAACATTTAGTGTATCTTTCAAGGTGCAATTATATTTCTTTCTAACCCCTTTTAAAACTTTATTTTATTTAAAAAGCTTTTCATTAAAAAGTTTTGAAACCCCCCTTCCCGTAAATGTTTTCTAAAAATTTTTTTAAAAGAGAAATTTTTATTTTTTTTTTTTGGTGGGGTACGCCACTTTGTTGAAAGAAAAAAAATTAAATTAGTGTAAAATTTTTTTTTTTAGGATTTTCACCAGGTTTTTTTAATGTGTATGTGTAAATTTATTCACTAATATTTACAGGCAGCTTAGGAAAGGATGCTAAATCTTGGCTGAGTGGAGAACGGGGTTTATGAGCCTTACTGGAGCAGTTTGCAGTTTGTGCCAGTCCTCCTCCAGTAAGATATTTCATCATATTTTATATATATTCTTCATGCATGTTATTATAATAATTGGAAATCCATCTCTACATCTTCCATTGGTATTTATAAGTTATGGAAAATGTTCTTTGTAATGCTAGTGGATTTTATTCTTTTTCTCCGAAAAAATTTTAAGATACACTTATCCTAATCTCTCTTATAAACTTTTTATATTACTTGCTACTTTATTGAGTCAGTTTTAAAAATATGTAATTTTTTCTTTCATATCTTGTGGAAAAGTAGAATCCTTACTCAGAAACCATGTGTCTTGTAGATGGTTTAAAGTACCAGGGAAGCAAGGTGCTTGTCACCTCTTGTGTATTTCTTAGCCAAAGATACAAGGAATAATATTAAGTTTGATTGTTTGATGGAAGTGTAGATAAAGGAAAAATCAGTGAAGGGTGGGGCAACATAAATGGTTAACACTGTATAAGTTTGATGTTCTAGGTATAAGGTTGGTAGGAGCAAACTGCCCAGGGAGGTACTACCGTCCTGCCAAGTGAGTTGTAAAACGAAAACCTGTAATGTTTTAAATATGTTTAAGATTGCTGGTTTCCTTTTTTCTGCTCATAAACATCTTGGATTTTTGGTACGTCTTGCTACTTCTACTTACACTTATCACACTAACTTTACATTACAGCATATATATACATACCCTCTGGATATTTTTCTATTTTCTTTCTAGTTCTTGTTCTTGTTTATTTCTCTTTATCTCCTTGGGAAGTGGAACAGAATTCTTCCTCCGTAAGCCATGCGTGTTGTAAGAGGCAACTAAAATGCCGGGAAGCAAGGGGCTAGTAACCCCTTCTCCCGTATAAATTACTAATTTAAAAGAGAAACTTTCGTTTTTTTTTTGGGCCACCCAGTGCCTTATAGGGGATATGCCGTGTGTTGAAAGAAAGAAGAAGTTGTGATGTTCTAGGTAGTAGGTTGTAGACAGAAAACTGCCCAGGGAGGTACTACCGTCCTGCCAAGTGGAGGTAAAACAGAAACCTGTAATTGTTTTTAAATGATGGTAGGATTGCTGGTGTCTTTTTTTCTGTCTCATAAACATGCAGGATTTCAGGTACATCTTGCTACTTCTACTTACACTTAGGTCACACTACACATACATGTACAAGCATATATATACACTCCCCTCTGGGTTTTCTTCTATTTTCTTTCAAGTTCTTGTTCTTGTTTATTTCCTCTTACCTCCATGGGGAAGTGGAACAGAATTCTTCCTCCGTAAGCCATGCGTGTTGTAAGAGGCAACTAAAATGCCAGGAGCAAGGGGCTAGTAACCCCTTCTCCTGTATATATTACTAAGTGTATAAAGAGAAACTTTCGTTTTTCCTTTTGGGCCACCCCACCTCGGTGGGATATGGCCGGTGTGTTGAAAGAAGAAGTTTGATGTGTCTGAGATAGTTGGAATTGCAGTTTCACTAATTCTGAATGAACATCTATGGAAAGAAAAATGAATATTTTGTGGATTAGATTAGAAAGACAATGACTTGTTAGATATACGGAATTGAGAGAGTATAGAATCCTCCCTGATTTTTAATGTTTTTATAATGGGTCTGTATAAAAAAGAAAATATTAGTGTTTTTGAGAAAGGGTATGATTTTAAAAGAAGACTCTTCAGGTACTTCAAGTAATGGCTAACAGAATGTAAGATGAGGTAAACTGTTCTATTTTGGGCATATTGGGATATTTAGACATTTTTAGAGGTCCATGGAATGTAACCCAATTTTTGCATATGTTCTTTGGATCAGTTAAAGTAAAACCTTGATTTAATAGACCCCCATTTAATGGACAAAATCTGCAGCTGGACAACCTTTGGAAACAATAGACAAAGTCTTTTAAATCCAGAATTACCCACTGTATTCATACAGTTCACTGCATAGTCTCAATGTCTGTTAAATCAGAAGTGTCTGTTACTTTTGTGGACAATTACAGAATTATCAGTTATTGTTGCAGTCCTTTCGGTAAATTTATTTTCAGATTTAATGGACTTAATACATTAAATCCAAAAAATTTTCATTTGGGTTTAATGGACAGTCAGCATTAACATTCACCCCTTCCCCATTAGTCCATTACATTAATGGTTTACTGTATCACAAAATTCAATTGCATGCCAATTTTTAGGAATGTAACCTTTGCATTAATTGCTGTTGTACTATATATTAGCTGAACTTGAAATGACGATGATGCAATTTGTTGGATCAATATTTGACTGTGAAGTCTGAAGCTTGCTGGGTAGACAATCAAAGTAATGGTGTTGTGTTTTTCTTTGGAAAATGATGAGTGAATTATTTCTTATTTGCATTTTGTCAGTCTTTTTGTCCAACTGTAACTTTTTTATAAGTTATCTTATTTTCTGTCTTCTCATTTTAATAATTATAAGAAAGTCTGTTTGTTTGTTTCAGATGGCTATCTATATGCCTCTTAGTGTATTTTCTTAATTTGCATATATATTTACTAGTTGTCTATAATTGTACATTTTGCATTTTCATTGTGAGGTTAAAAATTAATAACTGAATAGATGTTGTAGGTTGGTAGACAGCAGCCACCCAGGGAGATACTACCATCCTGCCAAATGAGTGTGAAACAGAAACCTGTAACTGTTTACATGATGGTAGGATTGCTGGTGTCTTTTTTCTCTCTCATAAACACACTTGATAACAGATATTTCTTGCTACTTCTACTTACACTTAGGTCACACTACATAGGCATGCACATGCATGTATATACATAGACACATCTAGGTTTTTCTTCTTTTAATAGCTCTTGTTCTTCTTTATTTCCTCTATTCTTCATGAGGAAGTGGAAAAGAATCTTTCCTCTGTAAGCCATGCATGTTGTATGAGGCTACTGAAATGCCGGGAGCACTGGGCTAGTAACCCCTTCTCCTGTATACATTACTAAAAAAGAGAAGAAGAAAAACTTTATAAAACTGGGATGCCTGAATGTGTGTGGATGTAGTGCAGATGATAAGAAAGAGATGATTGCTGATGTTATGAATGAAAAGAAGTTGGATGTCCTGGCCCTAAGCGAAACAAAACTGAAGGGGGTAGGCGAGTTTCAGCGAGGAGAAATAAATGGGATTAAGTCAGGAGTATCTGAGAGAGTTAGAGCTAAGGAAGGGTTAGCAATACTGTTGAAGGATCAGTTATGGAAGGAGAAGAAGGAATATAAATGTATATATTCAAGGATTATGTGGATTAAAATAAGGGTCGGATGCGAAAAGTGGGCCATAATAAGCGTGTGTGCATCTTGAGAAGAGAGGAGAGTAAAGGAGAGAGAGAGAGATTTTGGGAGATGTTAAGTGAATGTATAGTAACTTTTAAACCAAGTGAGAGAGTAATTGTGGTAGGGGACCTAAATGCTAAAATAGGAGAAACATTTAGAGAGGGTGTGGTAGGTAAGTTTGGGATGTCAGGTGTAAATGAAAATGGGAGCCCTTTGATTGAACTTTGTATAGAAAGGGGTTTAGTTATAGATAATACATATTTTAAGAAAAAGAGGATAAATAAGTATACAAGATATGATGTAAGGCATAATGACAGTAGTTTGTTGGTCTACGTATTGGTAGATAAAAGACTGTTGAGTAGACTGCAGGATGCACATGTTTATAGAGGGGCCACAGATATATCAGATCACTTTTTAGTTGTAGCTACAGTGAGAGTAAAAGGTAGATGGGATACAAGGAAAATAGAAGCAGCAAGTAAGAGTGAGGTGAAGGTTTATAAACTAAAAGAGGAAGCAGTTATATTAAGATATAAACAACTGTTGGAGGATAGATGGGCTAGTGAGAGTACAGCCTCTCCTCACTAGTGACGTACTCGTTTACTGACGCCTCAGACTTATGACGGGCTCTCTGACCAGTATTTATATATAAATAATGTATATTAGAGCTGATTTCTTCAATTCTGTTTATTACAATATACAGTACACTGCTGTATGAACATTTAAAAATATACCAGAAATATTTTAAATGGTGTAATGGCGACATTAAAACAATATCAAAGATGGTTGACAAATCCACTACCAATATAGTATGCTCCTCATTTAGCAACGAATTCGTTTACTGATGGGGTCTTAGGTCCCTATCTCCATTGTTAAGTGAGGAGAGGATGTATAGGCAATGGGGTTAAAGTTGTATGGGGGAGGTTTAAATATGTAGTGTTCGAGTGTTCAACAAAAGTTTGTGGTTACAGGAAAGTGGGTGCAGGAGGGAAGAAGAGTGATTGGTGGAATGATCATGTAAAGAGAGAGTAGTAAGGGAGAAAAAGTTGGCATATGATAGGTTTTTACAAAGTAGTTGCAATGCAAGGAGGGAAGAGTATATGGAGAGAAAAAGAGAGGTTAAGTGAGTGGTGAAGCAGTGTAAAAAGAGAGCAAATGAGAGAGTGGGTGAGATGTTATCAACTAATTTTGTTGAAAATAAGAAAAAGTTTTGGAGTGAACTTAATAAGCTGAGGAATCCTAGGGAACGAATGGATTTGTCAGTTAAAAATTGGAGAGGACAGTTATTAAATGGAGAGTTAGAGGTATCAGGAAGATGGAGGAAATATTTTGAGGAATTGTTAAATGTTGATGAAGATAAGGAAGCTCTGATTTCATGTATAGGGCAAGGAGGAATAACATAGGAGTGAGGAAGAGCCAGTTGTGAGAGTGGAGGAAGTTTGTGAGGCCGTGGGTAGAATGAAAAGGGGTAAGGCAGCTGGAATTGATGGGATGAAGATAGAATTGTTAAAAGCAGGTGGGGATATAGTTTTGGAGTGGTTGGTGCTATTAATAAATGTATGGAAGAGGGTAAGGTACCTAGGGATTGGCAGAGAGCATGCATAGTTCCTTTGTATAAAGGCAAAGGGGACAAAAGAGAGTGCAAAAATTATAGCGGAATAAGTCTGTTGAGTATACCTGGTAAAGTGTATGGTAGAGTTATTGAAAGAATTAAGAGTAAGATGGAGAGTAGGATAGCAGATGAACAAGGAGGCTTTAGGAATGGTATGGGGTGTGTAGACCAAGTGTTTACAGTGAAACATATAGGTGAACAGTATTTAGATAAGGGTAAAGAGGTTTTTGTGGCATTTATGGATTTGGAAAAGGCATATGACAGGGTGGATAGGGGGGCAATGTGGCAGATGTTGCAGGTGTATGGAATAGGAGGTAGGTTACTGAAAGCAGTGAAGAGTTTTTAGGAGGGTAGTGAGGCTCAGGTTAGAGTATGTAGGAGAGAGGGAGATTATTTCCCAGTGAAAGTAGGCCTTAGACAAGGATGTGTGATGTCACCATGGTTGTTCAATATATTTATAGATAGGGTTGTAAGAGAAATGAATCTGCAGGTTGTAGCAAGAGATGTGGGGTTAAAAGATAAAGAATCACACATAAAGTGGGAGTTGTCACAGTTGCTCTTTGCTGATGACACTGTGCTTTTGGGAGATTCTGAAGGGAAGTTGCAGAGGTTGGTGGATGAGTTTGGTAGGGTATGTAAAAGAAGACAATTAAAAGTGAATATAGGAAAGAGTAAGGTGATGAGGATAAGAAAAAGATTAGGTGACGAAAGATTGGATATCAGATTGGAGGGAGAGAATATGGAGGAAGTGAATGTATTCAGATATTTAGGAGTGGACATGTCAGCAGATGGGTCTATAAAAGGATGAGGTAATCTAGAATTAAAGGAAGGGAGAAGGGTGAGGGTGCATTTAGGATTTCCTGGGGAAAGACAAAGAACTTTCCCCCGGGGAAGCGAAGAGGGAATGTTGAGAGAAAATTTTATACCAACACTCTTTTTGGGTGTGGGGCAGTGGTTGAATTTTGAAAAGGGAGAAAAAGGGCTGGAGCAGTGGAGTTTCATGCCTGGGGGCAATTATGGTGTGAATATAAGCGGGAAAATTTTTGTAGTTTGGAAATTAGGAGGGGTGGGGGATTACCAAACCAGAGAGTTTGAGGAAGGTTTTGGGGTGGTTGGGAAATGTAAAGAGGATGGGACAAAAAAATGACTTTGAAGTGTATAAATCGTATGGGGGGAAAGTGGGTAGGGGTCGGCTTAGGACGGGTTGGAGGGGGGGGAAAAGGAGGTTTTGGTGTGGGGGCGGCTTCCAGCAAGAAAGCTTTTTTTTTAAAAATAACTTTACGTGCTGTTAAGTTGATCATTGAAACATTTATAAAAAGGGTTTTCAGTAAATGGCGGGCCCAAAATTTGAGTCCTGGAGAGGGGAAGTACAGGGGCCTGCACTCTGAAGAGGATGTTAATGTTGCGGGTTTTAATAACGTAGTTAAGCACCCCTCGGGCAAGACAGTGAAGGGGTGAATGGGTGAAAGTTTTTCTGTTTTCGGGCCCACCCTGCCCTGGGGGGGAATCGCCAATGTGTTTTTAAAAAAAAAAAATAATGGGTTTAAAATTCCAATGTAAATTTTAAACTTTTTTAAATTCAGAATGCGGTAAAAATTAAAAAAAAATTTATTTTGTATAATTCCCCATGCATTAATTTTGTTTTTCATACAGCCTCTCCTCGCCNTTAACGACGGAGTTCTGTTCCTAAGACCACTTCATTGAACAAATTCATCACTAAGTGAGGAGGATACAATAATGGTAGTGGGTTTGTGTTAACCATCTTTGATACTGTTTTAATGTCACCTTTGCATCATTTATAACATTTTTAGTATATTTTTAAATGTTTATACAGTAGTGTACTGTACATTGTAATAAACAGAATAGAGGAAATTATCTCTAATATACATTATTTAGGTTTGTATACTGGTCAGAGAGCCTGTCGTAAGTCCGAGTCGTCGGTAAACGAGTACATCGCTAAGTAATGAGAGAGACTATTGTGCTACAGTTTGAAAATATTTTGTTATTGTATCTTTGTTGATAGCTTTTCTCTCAGGTACATGTTGTATATCCAAGTGAGGATGACATCTGTAACAGCAGCCAAGGATGGATGGGTGGATCTTGTCTGCCATATAATTCAGCTACACATGAAAAGCAGACTTGGCTAGCACAACATTTTCAGTTAGTGTTCATGTACTGTTATGCAACTGCAGATTGTAATTCAGAAAATGATATAAACATCTACTGTAATGAATTAATTAATTTCTGTATATTGATTGTTTATCTTAAAAGCCTTTTATATTAGTACAGTACCATTAATTTATGTAAATTTTAGTTTCTTGTGTGTAATGGATATCTTGTTAATGTTTGTTACATTGCCATCTGAATGAACAAGTGTACAATACAATATATATTAATTTTTCTGTTTGAGAAATATAGATAATGCTACTTAGTTACAGTATTTAGTTTCATTCATTAATACTGCATTATATTCACAGCCTTTGGAGAAGTGAGAAGAGAAAACGCACACGAGTAATGCCACACATTAAAACCTATACTCGACTTAACAAGAACTGCTCAGCAGCCCAGTTCTTACTACTAACATCAGCCAATCTCTCAAAAGCAGCTTGGGGAATGCTGCAGAAACAAAACTCCCAGCTATTTATTCGGTCATATGAAGCAGGAATCCTGATTCTCCCCAAATTTCTGGTGAGTAAGAAACTTAGATGTCAGTTAGAGGTGCCATAGCAGTGCTTTGGATTACTCTCCATTGAAGTATGATGTTAATCTCAGTGTTGCAGAGAATCTGAGGAGGTGTTGGTACTACCCCAGGAAAGTGACAGTCAGAAGTGGCATCAAAATTTTTTTTATTGGGGGTCTTAGGGAGGAGCATTTGCAGAGCAAACAGACTTTTTTTTTTTACTCATAGCATATATTACAGATCAATTATAATAGCAATGTTTTATCAAGATCCTTTTATTCACACTGTATAAGAGTGAGAAAATAAAGAATAAGAACAGTGATTATTTGCAGTTACATCATTATATAACTTGCCATTAAAATAATGACCTTATTAATGTAATGATATACAGGAAGAAGATAATATTAATATAATTAAATTAGGTGACTTGTTTAAAGCTTTATGTTGCATAATATCAAGGTTTTCCAGCATTGCCAAATTTTTTGGTTGTACCTCTTTTAATGTGTTGCAAGAAAGCCATGCAACCATGAAGCTGTGTTATGGAAGAGTTTACAGTAGATATTTAGGGTGCATTCTAATTTTCTTACTGTTGTTTCATGTCTATTTGCATTCTTTTTAGCCACTCCAAATGATATTTTTTTTTTTATAAATTTTGTAATGCATTTACAGGGGTGTCCAGGTTTTTATTTAGACAGTTCCTTATTTAGTATTAGAAATTAGACACTTTTTCTATTTGAACCCAAAGAATCAGAATTAGAGAGATTTTTCTTTAATATTTTAATTACATGATTCTCTCCTATTCATAAAACTTGCCACTTTTTTCTCAAAATGAAATAAAATCTCAGAAAAATTCTGAAATTCAATTATCTTTCTGAATTTAGAGCTTTTGTTACAGTTATAGAATTCTTAATACAGGTGGTATTGCTGTACACGTTTCTCTCATCTTATATACGTTCATGTGAATTTATTATTAGGTTATGTCCCATTTCCACTTCTAATTATGTATCTGCATTAAACTTCACTATATTCAGTTGTTGCTGCTTGCAAAACTTGATTCTTTTTTTTAATTCAAAGGCTATTGCTTATCAAGGCAGTGTGACCCAAAGAAGAAAATACATTCATTCAATCACCATCTTTCCTAATGTGCTGACATTACAATCAAATTACCCTCTTACTGCATCATCCCCACCCCTTCTTGAGTGCAGGCACTGTTCTTTTCACCTCCAGAACTTAAGTCCAGCTGTTTCTTTGAATTTGTTCATAAAAGTTACCCTGCTCACATTTCAACAGCATGTCCATTAAAAAACCAGTTCTCTCTGTTCACTGTTGTCTAACATGCTAATGCAAGCCTGCTGGATGCTCAAGCCCCTAACACTCAGAGCCTCTTGTACCCCTTTCACTTCAACTATTCCTAGGATGACCCCCTTCCTCTTTTACCTTCCACCCCAGATTTATACACCCTCTTCATCAACCTATCCCTGTCCATCCTCTATACATGCCTCAAACCATCTGAACAGCCCCTCCTCAGCTCTGAATTATACCCTTGGTCACCCACATTTCTTTTTACTTTATACACTGTAAAATCTCCACTGCCTCTAGCTACATTTTTACTGCAGTATTTAAAAGCCATTGCTTACACCTATATAAAAATGTTACTACTATGCTCTGGAACATTTCCTAATTTGCTTCCATAGGTAAGCTTTTTCTTTCAACAGATAGTTAATACACAGTCCACTTTTTGACCTCCTCCTCTGTTCTATGGTTCACCTCATCTTTCATAGGTCCATCTGCTGACGTGTCCAGTTCCAGTCCAGATATCTAAATACATTCACTTTTTTCAAACTCCTTCCCTCCAGACTAATATTCAATTTATCATTGTTTAGACTTTTGTTACGCTCATCACCTTCCCTTGTCTATGTTCTCTTTCAATTTCCCTCGTTTACATACCTTCCCTTCCCAAATTCATCCACCAACTTTTGTAACTCATCTTCAGAATCCCATAAAAACAACTGTCACCAGCTTCATACAACTGCCATGGTCCTGGAAAGAAAGTGTATTGGTGAGGCACGGGGTAGGCACCCATGCCTTATATGAATATATTAACCCTTTCAGGGTCCGTCCCGTAGATCTACGGCTTTGCGTTCAGGGTCCAAACCGTAGATCTACGTCATGAGCTCAGCTCACTCTGATAAACTGTGAGTGGTACATTTGGGCCTAGATTTGAGAGAATACATCTATGTGGTATGTGTGCACCACATAAAACAGATCCTGCAGCACACTGTGTATAATGAGAGAAAAAAAACTGAAATCATGAATTTTCGATTAAAACAGCAACTTTGCAGTGTTTTTTCGTATGTTTTTTATAGTTCTATTTGCGATTTCTTGGTCTCATTTGATAGAATGGAAGACATATTACAGAAATAGAGATGATTTTGATTGGTTTTAGCACTGGAAATGGCTTGAAACTGAGCTCAAAGTAGCAGAAATGTTAAATTTTGCCGATATTCAAGAGTAAACAAACGACCTCACACGTCTAATACACGCCAGCTGGTGGGTCCTAATATGCATTCACAAATATGGTTGATGAATATTTATACAATTATTACAGTATTGCCTAACAGTAAATCTTCTATTTTTTGGTGTGAATAAAAATTCATTATGTGAATAAAAAATCAAAATGGAATTTATTTGTAAAGCCTCAAAACATAACTAATGAACAGAGGAAATGTTAGTTTAGTTCCAGGAATACCTAGATTGTTTATTCTGGACCCTATTTTGAAATTGGAATATTTTGAACTTTGTGTTAAATTGGCCAAATTAACAATTTCCGATCACTTTAATTTGTAGTTGAAACAGTTGACTTGGCGATTTCTTGTGCTCAATCGATAGAATAGAAGTAATACTAGTGAAATAGCTAAGAATTTGGTTGACTGGAATAATGTAATTGGCCTAAAATGGGAGTCAAAGTAGGCAAAATCGCCGATTTGTAAATATTGCTGACACATCAAAATTCGCAAGAGCATAATTTCGTCAATTTTCCATCAAATTTCGTACTTTTTGTTTTCTTTCCTTCACAAAAAGATTCTCTACCATTTCATAAGAAAAATAAAAAAAATATTTTTTGAAAATTCTTGGACACTGGGGCACCACTTCAGATTTGGGCCTTGGACCCTGAAGGGGTTAAGGTAAGATTTGCTCGGATTTTTAAGCCAGAGGGTTAGCCACCTGTGATAACCCAGGAAAGTCAATGCATCATCGAAGAATGTACATCTTATTTCCATTGGGGTCTTTAAATCTTGTTTCCCAGGATGTGACCCACACCAGTCAACTAACACCCAGGTACCTACTTACTGCTAGGTGAACAGGGACTGTAGATATAAGGAAACATGCCAGATGTTTCCGTCCGTGCCGGGATTAAACCACGGACACTCAGTGTGTGAGGCAAGTGCATTGCCATCTGAGCCGTGGAACACCTTACTGTATTCTCAAACCTTCAACTGCTCATCTACACCAACTTGATAAACTGTTTATTATATAGATCATGAAAGGAGAGTCTTATTATATGTTGAAAGTAGCATATTGTGTAAGGAATGTTGGATACCTAATCAGCTTCCTTGCAGTTGGAATCCAGACTTCACTCTACAACACTAGTATAACTTATATCTTGCCATTGTATTGGGTCCTTCGTGCCAAATTTATATCTGCTAAACAACTTGCATGTGTTTCATGTCTTATAAAGAAGGTTATATATTTTACCTCCAATTTATGTGAGCATAATATCTAAAAAGAATTTTAACTTTTAATTGCAGTACCGGAAAAAATGGACAGAGTCTGTTGTTTATAGTATATCTGAAATACAGAAGGAGGCACTGGCCAGAGCAATAGAAAATATTGAACTTAAGCATAAGGAATCATACAGGAGCCAAGAAACACAGGAAGAACTTAGCCATAAAATGAAATTGCAAAAATCCAAAATATTCCTTTTCCTATGCCACATCTAGGGCAAAACCCACATCAAGTATTGGGCCTTTGCTTAAACAAGATGGGACTTGCACAGATGACAGCAAAGAAATGAGTGAGATACTGAAGTCCCAATATGACTCGGTGTTTAGTGAGTCATTAATCAGATTAAGGGTTGAAAATATAAATTAATTTTTTATGACTAAGACCCAAAATTTGGTTAATTAAAGAATTTCTGATATAATCCTAACACCACAGGACTTTGAAAAGCAATAAATGACATGCCCATGCACTCTGCTCCAAGCCCAGACTCGTGGAACTCTGTGTTTATCAAGGACTACAAGAAACCCCTTTCATGTGCCTTGAATATTCTATGAAGAAGGAGCATAAACACAGGGGTCATCCCACAGTCACTATACAACAGATATAGACCCACTCCACAAAGGTGGCAGTAAAGCAGTTGCAAAGAATTACAGACCGATAGCACTAACATCCCACATCATTAACCCTTTGACTGTTT